CGGCTCTCGGTCTCTCGGTCTCTCGGGCCACCCGCCACTTTTCCAAATTATTCAAGTGGTCAGATGGTGTTGTTCATTATTTCTGTAGTTGTTGCTGTTGCTGTTGCTGTAATTGCTTACACACTTGCGATAGGGTTGAAACACACACACACACTCACACAGACACAGACTCACGCTTGAAGCCCGCATTTGTTTCTGCTCGCAAAGTTGAGGCAGTTCACACGTACATACGTATGTGTGAGTGAGTGTGTGAGTGTGTGTGTGCGTATACATATATATCTATATTCATTTACATAACTTTAGTCCTGGCCTGGCAATGGCTGTTACATCCGCTCACATTAACAGCATTGGCTCGCTCTCGGTCTCTGTCTACGTCTCGGCCTACGTCTGCATCTCCTTCCTTGGCTCCGGCTCTGGCTCCGGCTCTGACTCCGGTTTCTCGTTCTGGCTGCGAGTGCTTCAATTCGAACATAATAAATTAATTTATCATCAGAAAAGAATCTCTGTAAGCAAGCAGTAAAAGTTTCACCCTTATGGCCACACACACACACTCACACACACACTGGCACACACACACATTGGGTGTAGGCTACCCGTGATATACGAGTATCAGGCACACACACTTGAATTGTTCGCTCTGCACGAACTGTCTCGCATCCCAGATTTCTCCAAGACCAATCCATTGGTTGCTCACCGGGCTCCACGGCAGTATTGGTCCTCCATTTTAGTTTTCAGCTTGGATACAAGCTAAGAGCAATTAGCTAGAGCATCTATCTTTCTTTGATTGGTTTGCCAATGGATTTCTCTAGAAAAGAGTTTGAAATCAACTTTTTACCTCTGAAAGTAATTCACTTAATTTGTTTTGTTCAATTGACATTGTTTTTATTCTTTTCTATTATATAATTAAATTGTTTGTAGGCGAATTTCACATGGGGATATACTGGCATTTACGTAACGTTGACAATACAAAGTCTGTATAAGTATCCTATGCAGTATATCGATCTATGGCTTCCACAAAAATATCGATTTTTGATTAAGATGAAGAAGGGGTAAAGAATAATTTTCCGGGAATAGCTCCCAGAGTTTTACGTAGGTTTTTTGTTGTTGCACATTTCTGTTTTCTTCTCCTCTTTATTCACTTTAATCTTTCATTATTATTAAGCTATATTACATATATTATGCTTAACATATTTCAAGCATGATTATTAAATTGAGGTAGGTAAATATGCTTTATGCACCGTCAATCAGCTCGTCACTCGACTAAAAAATCCCCCTAATGTACATATGTAATGTGCTCTAGTCATAATAAATATAAAAATAAATATATAAATAATATTATAATCTTCATAATAATAATAAAAATAAAATAATATTAACAATAATTATTATCAAAACAATATTTACAATAATAATAATATGTAATTTTCGCTTTAGGGAATCAAATTAAGATACGATGTATTGTATCAGACATAAAACAAACATTTATTTTATACATAAGAAGGGAAGGCATAGAAACTCAAGTTCAAGTGGCTCAAAAAGTAAGTGAATTATTTGGAATTTGGATTTCATTTATGCATTTATTTCTAACAATTCCAGCTGGTACGCTTGCAATTCAGTGCTGCACTCCTTAAGGTACGTGGATGGGTTTTAGCGCACCCAAACCGAGTAGCTACCGACCGGAGCACAACACCAATAGGCGAAGGCTTAAAGGGACTACAAAATAACATAAACAAATTAATAAATAAAGTAAATACTTACATATGAGATATAAATACTCGCTTCTAGTGCACATATACATACATAGGTGTTAAGTTCAGCAAAGTCAAAGTTTTAGTCCACTCATAAATGCAATTGAATCGCCAGAGTGTGTCCAAGGATTATTAAATTTCTGAAGTAAACAAATATAACAATAACAATTTGGCGCAACTCGCCGAGGCCGAGGCAGAATCCGAGACCGAGAGCGACAGCGACAGCGAGTCCGAGTCCGAGTCCGAGTCCGAGTCCGAGCAGAGCGAACATGTCTGACGCACAAGTTCGAGCCGGCCACAAGTCATTCGCAACCTCGGCCAGGGGGTTGGCAGTGCCAGACCGGGCAGCGGCGCGACGTCGACAGCGCTGTCAGCGTGGGCATCGGCTTTGGCTACAATTTGGGCTGCGTTGGCTTTGGCTCTGACTGCGGCTGTGGCTGTGGCTGTGGCTGTGGCTGGCCCACACATGCGCCGGCCACATGTGTGCTGCGAGCGTGTCGCAGTCGTTGGATTCCAATGCCAATTCCAATTGAAGAAGTTTCCGCCCCGCCGATTGGGCGGCCAGTTATGTTGGATTGGTCACTGCTGGTCGAGTTTGGGCTGGCGGACTGGCGGGCCGGCGGAATTGGGGTCCGGCTACGGACGCTTTATATGCCCAACGGCCAATGGGGGCCCATTGGGCAGCACAGCGAGCAGCAATGTTTGGACACACGCTCTCTCTCGCTCGCCCACACATATGAGCATACGTGTGAGTTGACTGGCATGCATGCATGCTTGCATGTGTGTGTGCTGTGTGCTGCTGCCTAGCATGAGTGTGTGCGTGTGCGTGCGAGCTATTTGCATTTCGTGCGTTCAGCTAGCGACCTCTAGCGGATTTGTCGTGCGCGCTGCAAAGTATGCAATGCTTTTTACTTCACGATCATTTCTGTTGACCCTCGGTGTTGCCTACTTTTGTGCGTTGCTATAAAGTTTATGGCACGCGATCGAAAATTAAAAATGCGTTTGTTTCTTTTACATTTTTTCTTTAATTTGTATGTATTTTGTTTTGTTTTTATGTTTTTTTTTATATTTGTATTTTGTAACACAGACAACTATTTTAATTATTAATTTACGCTTTGTATTTATTATTGTTTATGTTCAAAAAATTACACACACTTGAAAAATATTTGGTTTTTGTTTTCGAAATTTTACTTATAAATTTTTTAGTTGCACATTTCGCTCGCTTTTTATTTTTGCTGCGATTTAAGTATTTTTGTATTTGTGCATGGTTTCCTTTTTTGTTTTTTGTTTTTGTTTAGTGTAAAGTTTTTTTCTTTATAGCTATAATTAAATTTTCTAATCTTGTATGATAGTGTTTAGCTTGTTGGGCTTTGAATTTTGGATTTCGTTCGTTTTCGACTTCGATTTCGAACTCAAGAACTTTGTGTTTGTTGCTGTTAAAAAAAAAGAAAATAAAAACGAAATTGTTTTTCTTATAGAGTTGAAAATAAAACATAAGTATTTATGATTTGTATAATATTTGCATGTTTATTCAATTTTTCTTGATTTTCTATATGAACTATATGTATAGGTATATAGATAATGTATATGTCTTGTCGTGTCTTGTCTTGTCTTGTCTGAAACACAATTGATTTGAAGAATTTCACAAAAGCGAAAAACTAAAACATTCTCTTCTCCTTCGCTCGCTCTTTTCCTATCTCTCTCTAATAAATTATGCACGATAAACTTCATAGTGGGAAAAATTGCTTGTAGTGTTGCCGCAGGGGGAGTGGTTGAGAGGGGTGTTTGCTTTAGGGGTGCGTGTGTGTGTGTGCGGCAACAGTAGAAGCAATTTTTACTTTAAGTATTCTTTTACTTTTTTTTTTTTTTTGGTAAATTGAAATCCAAAACAAAACAAAAAACAAAGAAAGCTGAAAAACCAAAAGGGAAAAGAAAATAAGTTGTAACCAATTTAATTCTTTTTCGATTTGAATTTTTCGCTCGCCAAATAAATTTGTACTAAAAACAATTATTAAATATTAATCAAAATGTGAGTTGTTTTTATATATATTTAAAAGTGTTTTTTTTTTTTTTTTTACTTTCAATCAAATAACGAAAATCAACAGCAAAAACATTTATGCAAAAAAAAATTGGTTCATCTCTCGTATTACTTGTTACCTTCTCTTTCGCTCTCATTCTCTCTCTCTCTCTCTCTATCTCTTTCTTTATCTCAGGGAAGAAAACAAATACATACGTTAGTTCCTCAGTCTTCTAAATCTAGTTGTTTGTTGTTGATGTTTTTTGTTTTTGTTTTTTCTATAATTGTTAATTGCTTTTCGCTTGAAGTTTTACGTACAAATTTAATTAATTTTTCACACTTTTTTTACGTGCTCTTTCTGTCCTTTTCTAATGCTCAACTGCAGCTAAATCTTTTGCCTTTGCCTTTTCACGAATTTGTGTTTTTTCCTTCTGCTTCTTCCTCGATACTTAAGCTAATTGTTTACAAAAAAAAATTGTGTTTACATTTATAGATTTATTTATGTATGTAAAAAATTTGATTACTTTCCGTATTTTTTTTGTTTTTTTTTTTTTTTTTTTTTTTTTTTTTGTTTTAATTACAATTAATAATAGAATTATTCTCTATGCAAAAAATGTCTCGAAATAATATAAAAAAAAATGATATGCATATATATATATATACATCTGTTAATATATATGTATATGCATATGCTCTTATATCGTTATATCGTAATAATTATAGTTAATAAGAATTCTTTTATACAAGTGTTGCTCTTTAGTGCCTAGATTTACTAAAATGTACATCGATGTTTAACAAATACGCGATCTTAAAACACACACAAAAAAAGGTTTATATATAAGTTCACTATATATAGTATATAGTAATTATGTATTTTGTCGTGTCTTTTTTTTCATTTTTTGGATTTACTTTTAGTGTTTTTCCCTCAGTAGTAGTATTTTTAGTATTTTTTGTGGGTTTTGCTTTTATACAAATTTTTTGTTTGATGTTTTTTTTTTAATTTTTTGTTTTTTGTTTTACTTAATTGCTATAAATACACTGGAAAATGTGTCAGACGCAGTTGTCCTGCCGCATATATTCTTAATTTGTTAGATATATATGTATATATTTAAATATATGTTTCGCATAAATTAAGTATTTTAAAAATATTTAAAAAAAATCTTGGAAAAAAAATTGTGAAAATTAATCGTAAATACATATATTCATATATGCATGCATATATACATATATATTTCTATGTTTAGGCATATGTAGTATAGTACTTCTTTAGCAGACACACACATATTGTATATAAAACGTAATAAAAAAAAAAATGTTGAAAAAAAAATTTGAGTTTTTTGTTTAAAATTATATTACATAACGGTTATTGCTTTGGTATTAAATGCCTCTGGTCGTGTTGTAAGTCGCCTTCAAGGAGCAGCCGAATGCTTGCATGGGGCAACAACAACTGCTGGCGCAATCTTTTAGAAAGTTGCAGTTGCAGGGGGCGAGAGGGTTGGGCCGTAGCTGGGGAGGGGGGCTGTATCATAACCGTACGACAACTGTGCTTCACTTCATATGTACAAGGGGCGAACGCGGAGGCGGGGCGGGGCGGGACTCGGGGGCGAGGTGCAACATCTTTAGAAGATGCGCGACATGAGGCGGCTGCGGCTGCTGGCCAACGGATGATGGTGGTGTTGCTGCACCTGCTGCGGCTGCTGCTGCTGCTGCTGGAGGTGGTGGTGTTGCTGGCCGGGCGGCAACAGTGCGTGTGGATGCGGCTGCAGCACATGTGCAGCCAGCGGGCCATGCAACGTGGGCGGCGGGTGGTTGTGGTTGTGGTTGCTGCTGCTCCAGCTGCTAAAAAGTCATGCCTCCTCCTTCAGCGAGATGGAGTGCGCCGGCAGGCTGGAGGAAGCGTTGGAGTCGTTGTCGCCGCTCACGCTGCCCGCCAGCGACAGATTGTGTCCGAATTGCGGCGGAAAGCCCACAGCCACGCCCATGGGGCAGGGCGACGACTGTGTGGGCAACTGTTGCTGCTGCTGTTGCTGTTGCTGCTGCTGCTGTTGTTGCTGCTGCTGCTGCTGCTGTTGGGCCTGGGCAGCCGCCTGCAACTGCTGAGCGGCAGCGGCTGCCTGGGCAGCGGCGACGGCATTGGCCGCGTTGGCCGCAGCGGCCGCCGCCTTGCCCTGGTTGACGACGCACTTCCGCATGTGCTTCTCGAGGGTGGAGGGCACGCTGAAGGGCATGTCGCAGAAGCGACAGCGATAGACGTCCTTGCCGGTGCGGCCGTGCGTCTTCATGTGGCGGGTGAGCTTGGAGCTCTGGGCGCAGGCGTAGGAGCACAGCTCGCACTTGTACGGCTTCTCGCCGGTGTGGCTGCGCCGGTGCACGGTCAGGTTGGAGCAGTTCTTGAACACCTTGCCGCAGAACTCGCAGGTGTCGTTCCTTTGGCGCGACTCCTTCTTCAGCAGGGGTCCCTGCAGCAGCGAGTTGGCGCCGCCCAGCCCGAGCGGCTTCAGCTTCAGGTTCTCGAACAGCGCCTCGTTGCGGTGCAGCGCCGACATGCCCCACCAGTCGCCGCCGTCCATTTTCATGCGCTTGGACAGCTCGAAGGGATTGGGGAACGGATTGAACAGCGGCACCTGGGCGGGCCCGTCCTGCGGCTGCGGCTGGAACATGTTGCAGTTCTTGGCGAACTCGTCGCGCAGCCGCAGCGCGGCAACCGGCAGCCCGTTCAGCTTGTCGCCAGCAGCGCCTGCTGCGTTCGAGGCGCCGCCTGCCACGGAGGAGCCGCGGTTGTTGTTGTCGACGGCAGCGGCGGCGGCAGCAGCTGCGGCCACAGCAGCCGCCTCCTTGCGGCCCGACTCCTGCAGCGCCTGCTTGTAGGCCTCCGAGTACTGGGCGATGTTGGACAGGCCGAACTTGTCCATGAGCTCGCCCACCAGCGAGGTGGCGCCGGAGCTGGTCGTCTTTGGGCTCTGGCTCTTGCCGTCGATGCGATTGTTGACGCTGAGATCCTCGGCCTCGTAGTCAACGTCCTCGCAATCGTCCAGCTCGTCCTCGTCGTCCTCTTCCGCATCCGCATCCGCATCGACGTCCTCGTCGTTGAGCTCTTCGTCGGAGTCCTCTGGATTCGGATCCTCGTCGTTGTCCGCCTCGTTCGTCTCCAAGGAGTCGGCGTTGCTGCCCCCGTCATGCCCATCCTGGTTGTTGTCGCCGCCGTTGCTGCTGCTGCCGTCTTGGCCCTCGGCGGGGCTGCGATGGACGCGCATGTGCTTCATCAGCTTCTGGATGTGGGAGCACTCGAAGTCGCAGGCGGTGCACTTGTACGGCTTCTCGCCGGTGTGCGTCCGCTGGTGGATGATCAGATTGTTCTCGAAGCGGAACTTCTTGTCGCAGTAGCCGCATGCGTAGCAGCTCGCCTCCAGCTCCGCCTCGCTGCGCTCGCCCTCCAAGGGCTTGCTGGGCGGCGTGCTGGCCGTGCTCCGCGGCGTGCCCGGCAGCTGTCCGAGCTGTCCGCCGCCATTCTCGGCGCTCTTCTCGGGCGGCGTCAGGGAGTGGGGCCGCGGGGTCGCCGTCAGCTGCACAGAGCTGGCTGCGGAGCTGGGCGAGGGGCTCGCAAAGCGCGGCGATTGCTTCTGTCTAGGACTCGGCGAGCTCGAGTTAACAATGTTGCCAGCTCCAGGGCTTGTTGTGCCCGCAAGCTGACGCAATCGCTGCGAGTAAAAATCCATCTGCTGCGGTTCCAGTTGCAAAGCGCCGCCCGCTGGACTCACAGCGGCGGCAATGGGTTGCTGCTGTTGCTGTTGCTGCTGTTGCAGTTGCTGCTGCTGCTGTTGTTGCTGCTGTTGCTGTTGCTGCTGATGCTGCTGTTGCTGCTGCTGTTGCTGCTGCTGCTGCTGTTGCTGCTGAGAGCTGAGCGAAGGTGGTGGCAGCGAAGCGGGCGGCACTGAGCCGCGTTGACTGCTGTTGCTCGAGGGCGGCCGTGGCTCGACGCCGCTAGGAACATTGACGGCAACTCCTGGCAACGGCTGCTGTTGCTGCTGCTGCTGGGTGGTGGCATTGAACTGGGCCTGGGCGGCGGCGGCGGCGGCAGCCAGATTGAAGCCGTGATGGCGGAACTGCTCGCTGACCAGCTGCTCCATGCGGTAGTGGTCGGCGGGCGTGGGGCGGCCGAAGAGGGGCGCCACGCTAGGAACTACATTGCCCTGGGCCAGCGCCGGGGGCAGCGGCATGCGGAGCAGCTGGAAGGGATTCGCGTGCATCGCCTCGGGCGGCGCCAGGAGCGGATGATGGCGCATGCCCGCTGCCATTGCCGAGGCCATGTTCTGTTGCTGCTGTTGCTGTTGTTGCTGCTGCTGCTGCTGTTGCTGCTGCTGTTGTTGCTGTTGCTGCTGATGCTGCTGCTGCTGCTGTACGCGCTGCTGCAACAGCTGCTGTGTCGGTGAGTTGCCGCTGCTCGCAGTGCTGCTGCTGCTGGTGTTGGCCGAGCCGGCACCACCAACAATTGCCGTTGCGCTGCTGTTGCTGCTGCTGCGCTTCGGGGCCGGCGATGCTGACGCCGACTGTGACGCCGACTGCGACTGCGAGGCGACGGCCTGCGCCATCAGCGCGTGCAAGGGCAGCGGCATGCCAACGGTTGCTGCTGCTGCTGCTGCCGCCGCCGCCGCTGCTGCTGCGGCCGATGAGGGGCTGAGGCTGCGGTCGGGGCTGAGGCTGGCGTTCGCGGCCGCCGATGCGGCTGCATTGAGGGCGGCGGGCGTGGCCACAGTCAAGCCTGCCTCCACGTAGATCTTGACGCCGTGCGAGTGCTGCACGTGCTGGATGAGGCGCCAGGCGGAGGTGTAGCGGGTCTTGCATCTCGAACACGTATAGTTGCTGGGCTCTACACACACACAGAGAGAGGGGGAGAGGGAAAGAGAAAGGTAGTTTAGTTATGTTGTCTGTCAAATATGTGAACTGGCAGGAAATGAGGCTGCCAGCAATTTGCCTTATTAATTATTAATAAATGCCAGCAGAGGGCGTGAGTGGACGGGGGGCAGGGCGGATATGTTGCAGATATTTGCTGCTGCAAAGTTTCGGCGGCGAATTTATTTATTTATTGATTTTGTGTGCAATACGCACACACACACACATACAGTGAGAGAAAGAGAGAGAGGGGCGCGTGTTGCTGGCGTGCTTAGCATACAAATGGGCGCGCACGGCAGCAACATCAGCAGCAGCAACAGCTGCAGGTGCTGTCCCTTACAGCAGGATATTGCCAAACACACCCACACACACACACACACCTACACATGTCATGTATCGTAATAGTTTCTGCTTCTTTTTCATTTTTTTTATGCGATTTGCCGTGCGGTTTGTCGCGACGTTTGTTAATTTGCCACGGAAACCGAAAACTGTAAGCCGTAAAACGCCACTGAAAATCAGAAACCACCAAAACCACCCGAAAGGAGCCACATGTCCTGCGGCGGAAATTACAAGCACACACATCCACACACTCACACACACACACACATGTGGCCATAACTATCGACGAGGGTTCAATTGGGCGGGCGGAGGCGAAGGAGGACGCAACAGATGCGATTTTCAAAATGAAAAATGTGAAAATGTGAAAATTTGCTACGCCAAGAATATAAAAAAATAAACCGAAGACAGCAAAAATCATAATAATAATAATAGTAGTAAAAAGATGCGATGCGAAGAGAGCCAAAGCAAAGCAAGAAAACGAATTGCAAATACGCTAAAGCAAAGGAAACGAAAGAGCAGAGAGATTGAAAGATCTATGTTGAAGAATGAAGAATCAGATTGAGATGAGAGGGAGAGAGAGAAAGAAAGAGTGGACGAATAGGTTATAGAGAATAATTCCCAAGTTCCATATAGCTAAGAGCTAGCTGGAGTGAGTAGATGATTAAGTAAGCCCGAAGCTGCCTCTATATCTATATATGTATCTATATACATATATCGAACAGCTCCAGGCCAAGCTTGAGGCCTTTGTAGCCCTGCCAGGGTTAGGGTATCAGCACGTAGGCAAGGAGGCACGGACTCGGCACGGGGCTAATCGATGGAAGCTGCTGCTGCACAGGTCAACACATGTCACCGCAGACGCTGGCCATGCGGGCAACAAGGTGTTAATGCGCCTCTATTAGAAGCCAACTACCCCTCGGGTGCGAGGACGAAGCAGAAGCAGAAGCAGCAACTGTGGAAAACTGTGGAAAACTGTGCAACGCACTTTGCATTTAAATGACGCTTTAAAAAATATTGAAAATGAAAATGGAAATGAAAATGAAACTGAGCGAGGAGCTGGAGGAGGAAAACGCATGTCGCGCACGAGTCCATAAAGGTTGAGCTCATCAGCTGAGCGAGAGAGATAGGGCGAAGAGCGAGACGGGGAGAGAGATGAGGTAACTACACTTTTGCTTTTTCTTTTGTTTAGTTTTTCGTTGTTTTTATGACGTTCCGCGCGGCTGCAGCTTCTCGTTTTCATTTTCGTTTTCTTTTTTTTCTTTCTGCTTTTTATACCCTGTTATATTTAACTTCCTGTCAAAGGTGAGAGCGTGCTGAACATGATTTGGCCACGACCCCGACGCAAGGACAATGCCGATCAACGGGTTGCCGGCGAGGGAGGGCGGACGGAGGGCAGGCGGATCTCTTGTGCCCGAAATCCTGGCCTGATGCGGGCCGCAGGAAATGCAAATGAATCTGACAGATACACATAATTCGTTTCTCAAATAAAGGGTTGCTGCTCCTTAGGGGTTAGGGGTTGCACAAGGGGCAGCTGTTGTTGTTGCTGTTGTTGTTCGGGATCTCATGATCATTATCATTCGGGCACATCATGATTGTCATAAAAAACGAGGCAAAAGTTGTCGAAAAACGTGCGGCATTTGCCAACTGCTCCTACTTTTTATTTATTTATTTATTTTTTAATTTTTGATAGGCATTTAGAGAGACGCGCGTTGCGCACGCGCCAAGCGCGCATCCTTTATGCCCTGGCAGACGCAACTGCTGCCTGCCTGTCTAAATGTCTGTATCTCTGTCCCTCTGTCTGTCTGTCTGTCTGTCTGTTTGTCTGTTGTTTGCCCTGCGCCTGGCACGCTCTGATTTTGGCAGCTCGTTGAGCGCTGCTGCTGTTGCTGCTGCTCGCCCGCTGGCATTGTCCTGCGGGAGTTGGGAGACCAACGCCAGCTCCGGCTCCAGCTTCAGCTCCCTCTCAAGTGACCCGAGTGACTGCATTCAAAGCAGCTCAGACGGAAGCGAGCAAAACAAAGAAAAGCCAAGTCGCGTCCCGTCTCGGCTCGTCTCGAGCCAGGAAATGGCAAATTGACCGCCTGCTGCAAAGTGGAGCCAGGAAGTGCGCCAGGACAACGTCACGTATGAGCGATGCCAGGCAAAGGACGAGAGGTCAGCGGGTGGGCAGCCACACACACACACACACACACACACACACACACACACACACACACACACAC